CTTTTTTTTTTTTTTTTTTTTATTAATAAACCAAAGTGATTAGCGATCTACTACTTTGCCAGGTCTGATGGTGTGCTCTCAATCCTCTCTGAAGCATGTGACACTGTTAGTCACCTTCTCCCTCCTGCTCTTTCCTTTCTGCATTTTCCTGGTATTCCTCTTTCTTCTGGTCTGAGTCTCTCTCCTGCACTCCAAGCCCACATCAAAGACAGATGCATGGACACTTTTCACCAGATGTCCTGTACACAGCTCACATTTAACACAGCAATGTCTTTCTTCCCAAATCTAGTGTCCAAAAGAGAACTCACTTACTTTCTTCCTCCTCCTACCTACTCTTCTTATGAAATTCCCTATTTCTATTGAGGGGATCCCCATGTTACCAGTCATTAAGGTTTTGAAACCTTGGCATCACTGGTGAAGCCACTTTAACCCTCCACATCCATCTAGCTGCCAAATCCTGTTACTTGTACCTGCACAAATTTTCAAATCTCTCCCTTCTCTCCACTCATATCATTGCTACCCAAATTTAGGCCCTCATGACTGATGAGGATGGGATCTGAAACCCTAAAAGGAAAAGCCATGTCTGTGAGATCTGGACCCCAAAAAAAGAAAATCTCTGGACTTTTCCCAAATCTGTAGCGGTTGCAATGTAAGCTCCGTAAGGACAGGGACTGTTTGGTTCACATCATAGGCTGCTCAAAAGCCTAATTCCCTATAGTGTCTAGGGCAGGGGTGGGGAACCTTTGGCCTGGAGGCTACAAGTGGCCTTCGAGGTCCCTGGGTGCGGCCTTTTGACTAAGTCCAGGTTTTACAGAACAAGTATTTTTATTAAGGGGCTTTGTTCTGTGAAGTTTGGATTCAAAGGGCTGCACTTGAGGACCTAGAGGGCCACATGTGGCCTTGAGGCTGCAGGTTCAGAGACAAAGAACCATGACCTAGGCAGTTACAGGGTAAAACGAACTGTAAAGGACCAATTAAAAGATGACACAGAATCAATGATTACTTCACTCCCTCCCCCCCTTATTGTCATTCTTCTCTCCTTCTTCCATTTACCTTACCTTATATTATACTCATTTTGTACATGTTATTGCATCCATGCCCCAAGAGATTATAATAAGCTCCCTGAAGCAAGGAACATTTCAATTTTGGCCTTGCATGCCTAACCCTTAGAACAGTGTAGTAGACACTTAATAAATGGGTGTTAAATGATTTGGTCATATAACTGACAGAAGAGGAGAGAATATGAGATTCCATTTTCCCACCATTGACTAATTAAAAAAAAAAAGCACTTAACTCAGTAGCACAAAGTATAGCTTTAAGGGGTCTATTAAAGCAAGATGGCTTCCACTTACATAATATGGTACAAAACAGATGTCACTATGTTAACTTTGTTCAAAATCTGCTGAGTATTGATGAAGCAAGTTGTAAACAGAGACCTGCTCACCTAATGTGTTCCTTAGGGTCACCTCCAACATTTTTCAAAGAAGGCAAGTGTCAGGGAAAATAGGAACCACAATCATTCCATGCCTTCTTGACAGACTAACAATGAAGAAATCCCATGACAACTTGGTGGTCTAACAGTGGAAAGTAAAGAGAAATAAAATACATCAAACTATGTAAAACAGATGGTCTCATTCACTGCTGTGACAACTACTTGTCCTCAAGAGACACCTGAAGTAGTCTAAATGATTACCTCAACCCTGAAGTTTTGTCTAAAAGACCCTCTTTTCACATTTGTAAAAGTATCTGGTCACTTCCTCTTGGCTCCCGCCCTTGAGCAGGGAATGTCTTCTTATTCTGTTAACAAACCTTGCCAGCTGAATGGCAAACATTCCCCTAGAATCTCCCTTTTCTCTATTGAATGTTTCTCCCTTTTTCTACCACTCTCTCTTCTGCAAAAGGTGTAACTTATCTAGCCTAAATTGCCTAAGAATGGTGCTGATTGGTTGTGTATTCTAAATAGGCCTGAAAAATCATAAAAATGAAATCTGTACCCCAAGAAACTGAAGCTGCAATCAGCAGTTCCTTTAGCATGCTAAGAAATATATCTGCTTTCTGACTGGCTTTCTATCTTTGACCCGAATCATCAGAGCCCAGCTAACCAATGTGTCTCTTCAAACAAGTCTCATTTTTTCAACTGAGAGGACTCTCCATCACAAACAAGGATTTGTTTGAAATCAAGGTTCTCTAAATAGCCCTATTTGCAGGTCACACTACACTAATTCCATCAAGCCCCTTGAACGCTAAGCTTCTTCAGTGAAAGACTGATTTAACCATCCACACTGGGAAAACAAAACAAAAACCCACATGCTATCCAAATTAAAATGTGTAGCTGCACATTTCATTGAGGTGTGCACTCAAGAAACTTTTTTAAACAAACATTCATTGAATATTCAATCATAATAGGCATTATTCATCAAACAAACAAAAAAAATCCCTTGAAATGAACAACTAAACTTTGCACAGGACGCCTTTTCAAACTTGATTTTATCCTCTGATTCAACTTCACCATCATAATCCTCTCCCTCTTCCCAGCTTATCACCAGGTAACTCATCACCCTAGATATCAATATTGTTACTGACACCTCTTAAGTACCCTCGGCTGCCCCTCTGATTGGAGGGTGGAGCAAAAACAATAAAGCCTCCATTGAAAGAGGGCCCATAGGTCCGGCCAACTCTTCCTTTCCCACAAACTGCAATCCTTGGATTCAAATCCATCATCAACATGCCCCTGCAGCAGGGACCTTTCCCCTCTTCCCCTCACCCTGGTACAGTTTCCTTTTACGTGATGTCTTCCCTCAATGGATTGTAAGCTCATTGAGGTTAGGGACTATCTTTATTTGTATCACCATTGCTGAGCACAGGGTCTAACATATAGTAGGTATTTAATAAACATTTATTGTTTTGTATCTTCTTGGCTAAAAAAGCAACCCTCTATGTGACAAGAGTATAAAGATTGGTAACTAGAGGTGACATCTTTTTAAAAGTGAGTTCTTAAACTCTTTTTCCTTCCTTGCCCCCAATAATTAGAAAGAGGCCGAGAAGACAAAGTGGCCAGAGGAGTCAAAAGGGGGAAGAAATGCCTACTTAGCTGCTGTTTCCCTGAAGCAGCTGCAGCCAGCTGAAGGCCTGTGCACTGACCCTAGGCTCTACAAAGCAGAAGCACTACTGCAACACACAAGGCACCTGTGTAGATCCTTTGCAATCACAGAGGGACTTTAGCCCATGGGGTAAGAGAGTCACCTGAGGCCCCTCCTTCCCCCATCAGCACTCTTTGGAAGTGGGTAGGGCTTGGAATGGGAAGAGGTCAGCAAGGGCTCGGGAGTGACCGGGCTCTCCTCCCAGGGCCTCCATTAGATAGGGAAATGGCTTGAGAGGTCCAAGTTCTGAGTTCCACTCACACTCTTTTGTCACTCTTTTTCCTGCCAGTTAAACTCCACTTTGAGGTTAAAATCTGAAGGAGATGATCTACAATGGGGGCCTCTCACTCCCCTCTTCTCAAATTCTCAAATTGTGGCAGTCTGTCTTTCACTTCATCCTCAACTGAAACTGCTCTCACCAACGTTAGCAACGATCCCACAAGTGCCAAATTTAATGGGGTTTTCTCACTTCTCATCCTCCTTAAGCTCTCTGCAGCCTTTGGCCTGTCCTCTCGTTTTCTGTGACACAGACGGCTGCTCCTTCAGTCTCTCTGGCTAGATCTACATCCATGGCACTCTGGGTGTGACTGCTCTGTACTGGGCCCTTTTCTCTTGTCTCTATACTCTCATTTGCTGAGATCATAAGCTCGAGACAGATCATACCCATACTTTTCCAGGCCTAGTCTCTCTCCCCATTTCTGCTCCAGCTTTGACAATGCCTCCAGGACATTTCAAACCAGCTGTCCTACAGGTCCCTCAAATTCAACATGTCTATAACAGAGTCCATGACCTTTCCCCCTCAAACTCTTCCCCTTATCTGTAATTTCTCTATTACAGTCCAGGGCACCACCATCCTCCCAATCTTCCAATACCTTGGTGTTATCCTCAATTCCTCTCTCATGTTCACCCTACATATCTAATCATTTGCCAAATCTTTTAATTTCTCTCTACAAAAAGTGTAGGTCTGACTATGTAACCCCTCACTCAAGAAACCTTAGTGGCTCCCTATTGCCTTGATCCTGGAGGATCATGAATAAAGTCCTCTGTTTGACACTTAAGGTTCTTCATAGACTGGCCCCTTCTCAACCTTTACAACTTTCTTCCATTCTACTCCCCAACACAATCAGGTGGTCATTCAAAAAGCATTTATTAAGCGCCCATTTTTCCATTTCTACTTGCGCTTCGCCGCTCCTAAACTCCATTCTTACCCCAACCTCTAACTGGGGCCTCTGAACCCTACATTTAAATCGATTCACCTTAATTCAATACTGTATGCTGCCTTGGTGTTTCTTGCCCTCGTGTCCACTGCCACTCATTCCTTTTCAAAGGCCACCTGGGTTACTTACATCATTCTCCAGGTTTGCCCCTGTACACGTGCTATTGAACCCACTGAAGAAAGCACATATTTCTCTCTCTCCTGCATTCTTTGGTCTCAACAAACTGGCCTGCTTGGTGTTCCTCAACAATACATCTCTTGTCTCTCTGGGCTTTTGTACAAGTTGTTTCCCCTGCCCAGAACATACCACCTCCTCATTCTCATCTTTTACAATTCCTTATTTCGTTCAATCAAAACTCATTTTCACTGCCACCTTCTACAGGAAGCCTATCCAGACTGCCAGAGCTGCTAGTGTTCCTTCCCCTTCAATCACTGCATGCATGTTGATCCTACTAAACAGAAAATAAGTTCTCTGAATGCAGGAACTGTTTCATTTTTGTCTTATGGTGATCGCCGAGCACATAATAAATGCTGTTTAATGCTGAATGGCTCGATGGATAGAGTGCCAAGCCTGGAGTCAGGAAGACCTGAGTTCAAATCTGGCCTCAGCTACTCACTGTGTGACCCTGGGCAAGTCACTTTACCTCTGTTTGCCGTAATCCGCTGGAGAAGGAAATGGCTAGTATCTTTGCCATTCTAGTATCTTTGCCATCCTTTTACAGAGACCCACGGAGGGTGGGGGAGCCCCCGACCCCATGGGTAGTGAGTAGCAGGGATGGGGCTAGAACCCTGGTCCTCGAAATCTTTCTCTTTCCAGCCTCCCAGGCTGCTTCTCTCTCCGAGGTCCCGATTTTCCTTCTTCGACTCCCCCTTTTCTAAGGTTCAGCTAGAACACACACAGACCGCTGTGCCTGGACTCCCACCCGTCTTTTTCCAAGTTCTGGGAGACGGGAGAAGGTCGGAGGTCATCCAGCTGTGCGGGAGGAAGCTGAAGGTCGCGGGATGACGCTCAGGGAAACAACTGGCACGCGGGGAGGGGAAAAAGGGCAGTGAGCGCGCATGCGCATAACCTCCACTTTCGCAGCCACCTCCTGACAGCCCCTCCCCCCACCAGTCACGCCTCGGGGCCGTGCACCTCAACTTCCTCCTCCTCTTCCCCCTGGTCCGTTATTAGACTAATGACCACGCTCGACCGCTTCCCTTCCTACCTGAACTAGGCCGCTGTGGTGAGAGCAGCAGCGGCCCTCCGGCGCTCGGCAAGAGGCCATGGCTGAGCGGAGCCACGCTGCTCGACCTCCTACAGGAACCTTTCCTGACAGATCAGCCTTTTCACTCAGGCAGAGCGGCGGGCAGCTTGGGGGCGGGGACGGGGGGAGGGCGGGACTCCGCGGTGAGCGGGCCAATCCGGCGTGAGCTCAGCCGGCGAGGCGGACAGCTCTGAGGCCCCCGGAGGACGCCCCCCCCTCCCGCAAAGATGGCGGCCTCCTTGAGGCTCGGCTGCGGCCGCCGGGCGCTGCGTTACCTCCTGGGCTCGGCGAGTGGCCGGCGGGCCGAGGCCGTCGTGACCTCGCTTGACCGCGGCGTGGACTGCCGGCGGCTACATGGCTCGGCTTGGCTGTGGGGTGAGTGCTGAGGAGGACGGGATGGGTCAGTCCGGTGCCGGGGCAGGACCCCCGGGGGGGAGGCACAGCGGGCCGGGCCGGACCGGCTGAGGCCACCCGGACCAGGGGGCGAGGGCCGGCCTCCCCTCCCCATCCTGGGGGCGAAGTTGACCCGAGGGCCGCAGCCTGGGCGGCCTGGAGCCGGAGGCGAGCATAGAGGTCACCGAGGCCAAGCCCCGCACCCCCTGCTCCTAATCGCTTCTATTAACGACACTCCTGCTGCTCCGCCAGCAGGGGTCCGGAAGTCCTGAGTTCGAATCCTGCCTCCTCTCTTACTCTAGGCGTGTGACCCCTGGAAAGTCACTCAGAGTCTCTGCGCCCGTTTCCTTATCTGTAGAATGGGTCAATATTGGTACTTATTAATGGTAGGGTTGTTGTGAGGATCAAACGAGATTCCATTTGTAAAATGCGTTGCAAATCTTAAAGCATTATATAAATCCATTCACCCGCTACGTGCCAGGCACTCTGCTAAGCGCTGGGGATGCAAGTTATAGAAAGAAAGACAGCCCCTGCTCTCAAGGAACTTTCAGTGCAAAGGGTAGTTACTGCTACTACCACCAGCAGCAGGACCATCACCACCACCAGCATCATCATCATCATCATCATCATCATCATCATCATCATCATCATCCACACCTATTTAAGGAAAAAAAACACACAGAAAACTATTATTATTACTATTACTATAATATTAATACGATTAATAAAGCTATTACTATTGCTTTCTAACATTCCAGTTTAAGAAGGAAAAAAAAACCAATCCTTATTTAAAAAATGTATGCAGTCAAGCAAATCATTCCACTTTGGCTGTGTATAAAAATTGTCTATCCCACTGTTCATCAAGAGGTGAGCAGCATGCTTCTTAGGTCCTCTAGAATCAATGCCATTGTCCAGTCAACCAGTTATTAAATTTGCTCTGTGTGCCAGGGGGCCTGGTAGATATTTTATATGTAAATGGGATACAAATGTAAGCAAAGAAGAAAGAACATTAAAAGGAGAAGGAAAGGATGGGGGTGGGGAGAGAAGGTAGCCAGGAGAGGTCATGCTGGAGAAGGTGGGGGAGTGAAGGATGGCTGGCCTGGGTACTTCCTCTAAATGGAGGTTCTGGGAAGAGCTCAGCAATGTGGGGGGGAGGGGGCTGAAAGGCAAGGGGGTCTTCCAGGGTGAGAAGGTGCCTGAGGCTTGGATCAGGGAGGGCCAGAGAAAAGGGGAAGATGGTTGACTTGGGTGTTTCCTCAGAATGGTGTGATGGGTTACCTAGCGGGTCAAAGCTGGTTGCTAGAAGTCCTTTTCTCACTTTCATGGGATGCAGAAGAAGTTCCTCCTATGAATGGTGTAGCTTCTTTGCTGGGCGTCTTGTGGAGCCATGAATCTACCTCCTATCTGTCCTTGGCTCCTGATGTAGACATTGCCACGGATGGATGAGGGATTGGGGCGGGAGGGAAGATGTTAAGACACTGACGGATAGTGGAAGAACAGTTCTACAAATTGTTATGATTCTGCTCACTTCAGCCTGCATCAGTCCATGCAAGGCTTCCCAGGTACGTTACACCTTTTGGTCTAGTCAGTTCACACGCACACACTCACTTTGTGTGTCTTTTGCATTATATTCTTTTCTCCTCCCCCAGAACTTTTTTGATCCGTAGTGCTATTATGAGGCAATCAGGGTTCAGTGACTTGCCCAGAGTCAAACAGCTAATAAGTGTCAAGTGTCTCAGCCTGGATTTGAACTCAGGTCCTCCTGACTCCAAGGCTGGTGCTCTATCCACTGTGCCACCTAGCTGCCCCTCTTTAGCATTTTAAGCCTCACAAAGCATTGTCTTCTCAACAGCTGGTTGGAGGCTGCTGGGGCAATGGACAGAGCTGACCTTGGAGACTGACAGATCTGAGCATTTGGTGAGCACTGGCTGTCATTTAAACTTCTAGGGCCCCACGTAACTCTCTGACTATAAGTTTCAGAACAGGTGCTGATCTGCATTTGGTAGAGGAGGTTCACTTGTAGGGAGTCCCTACACCAATAAAATCCTAGATCCAGACCACATTCCTTCTTTACTTGTTTTTTTGCATGTTGTTTTCCTGTAGGTTGTGTAAGCTCCTGGGGGGGGGGGGGGCTGTTGTTGCCCCTCTTTGTGTCTCTGGTACAAAACCCAGGGCTTGGCATCCTGTAGGCTTTTAATAAATGCTTGTTGAATTGAACAACCCTGTGGGTAGGTAGGATAATATTCTCTCCATTTTACTGATGAGTAAACTGAAGCACAGAAAGGAACTTGGGGTTACATAGTTAATGGGTGTCAGATTCAAACACTGGCCTCCTGAGTCCCAGGCCAGTAAGATGTAATAGAAACTTAACTTTGGAGTTAATATCTTTGGGGTTATGGTAATGTCTTTGAGACTTATGGGGACTTTATATTTCATTTTGTGAGTACAGGGAGAAGGGGGCCAGAAGTTAATGGATCATTATTATGATTTTAAATGTAACCTGCTCTTTTTACCTTAGTGTTTTGAAACAGGGTGATTGGGAAATGTAACCCATTGGTCAGGTAAGGATAGACACAGCAGCTGTATTCATGGATCTGTTGGTCACTCTTAAGTTTCTCAGTCTTTGTCTCCTTTCTCCATGGCCTCTGTAAAAAGGGGCCCAGTTTAATCAACCTGCATCATTTGGTTTAGAAAAAAATTAAACATTGGTATTGGTAGACAGAGCTAATGGGATGGATTGTGGTGTTTCTCTGTAAGCTCCCAGAGTGGCTGTCCTTGAACTTAGGATTCAGTAAAAGACACGTATGCCTCAGATGTGCTATTTGTTTGACTGATAAAGGGCGTGTTTTTATTCTTTTAAGATGTTCTCAAACTACCCCAAATGATTAGGCATAAGAATCAGGCTTGTGATTTCATTGCTGTAGGAACATGAAGAGCCTTTTTCCCAGTGTGGGTCAGCACTTTGGCTACTTAAGAGTGCAGTTCATATAGAGTACCCATGGATATTAACTTCCTGAACAATTTTGGGAGGGGATATTCTTATACATTGCAATCAAATCTATGGGAACATTCCTGCTTCTCACGAGAACAAAACACTAACCAGAAATTGTGTCATCTTCATCCTGGAACCCCTGAAGGCCGAAAGAACTCCTTAGGCTGCACTTTAATTGTGTGCATCAACATTTTTGAGGGAAGGAGGTTGCTTTCATGCTTGTGTGAGCCTTGCAAACTCTAAGTAGAATTCATTACTGGGAAGTCTCACCCCACTCAGATTTAAATTCCTTGGGCTCCAGTAATAAGATGTATACACACAATTTTGATTTATAGATACATGTATGTATAAATTATAATACATGGACACATGTACCATTTTAGCCAGGTCAACCAGAGAAGTTTAATATTGGATTATGTAGCCATCTCAGCCTTCATTTCCTCTGTTTACTCTTAGAGGTCAGTGGAAGCCCCCCCTCCAATGCCTTCCCTCCGGCTTTACGGGTGAGGCAGCTGCCTGAATTGGGCTCATGTGCACAGCTGAGTCTGAGGCGCGATTAAGGCCTGGTCATCCTGACTCCAGGTCCAGTAATCTGCCCACGTGGCAGGGCCTCATAGACTCAGCAGAGAAAGGCATCTTCTTGTTTACTCAGTGCCCGCATAATTGTTAGTTTCTATATTTCGGAAGAATCTGCAGATCCAAGATTAGATTATCGTTTATGGGAAGATAGCGGTCTTTGTGGATTGGGGCCTGGAAGACCTTGCTTTAAATACTACCTGATAGAGCTGTGGTCCCACACTGTGTGTGCCCCAGGCTGCTTCCGTGACTATCTGCCAAGGAGTGGGACTCCAGGACCTCAAGCCGTGGCAGAAGCAACTTGGTGTCAGGGCCTGGTCAGGAAGCCTGGACTTTGAATTCTGGGCCAGCCGCTGACCCTCCTTCAGCCTTAGTTTCCTCATCTGTAGAAGGGTCATTAATAATAGCACCTACTTCACGGGGTTGGGAGGATTAAATCAAAGAATACGTATAAAACGCCTTACACACATTAAAGCACTGTATAAATGTTAGCTGGTATGCTGAAGAAAGCCCAGATGTTTCTCATTGTTATCATCAACCAATATTGATTGACAAAAGACTAAGCTCACGCCAGCTTTTGGGACACAAAATAGCAATGACACCCTCTACCACCCCTAGTGTTTAAGGAAATCACCACCTCCTTCCACCCTCCCCCCCCTTCTCCCCTGCCTTCTTACCACCTTCCCTCTCTCTTCAGTTCTGCTCTCCTCCAGTGGTATAGACTGGGAGGGGCTCTGGGGATCAGAAATGGATGCTGCAATCCAGCTTTGGACGCTTGTTGGCAGGATGGCCTTGGCCAGGTCGCTTCTCTTTTTTTCAGTTTCTCATCTCTAAAATGGGTTGACTGGACTGAGGTTTCCAGGTTTTCTTTTGGCTCAAACATGCTATAGTTCTCTTCTGAAGGATTGATGTGGAATTGTTAATAACAACTGTTTCAGTCCCACTCAAGAAACATAGATGATAGATAGCCATCTTTGATTTGATATCATAAGAATAAGTCTTTGGTAGTAATACTCTAAGTTAAACTATCAGTGGATTCTTATTTGGTACATGAAAACCCTGAGTACTACTTTATAACAGTTCTTTGAACTGAGAGGACTTACATTAAAACAAACAATTGTTTTCTCTAGAGGTTAACCATTTGCCTTGGTTACTTTCCTCAAGAGCTCACTTTTTTGTGTATTAAGTATCTTTGCTCTGAAAGCATTGACTTAAAAATTTCCATTTACTTCTGCTTTTTTTCAGCTAACCTGTAGATGGCAGAAGTGGTTTATTTTTACTGTTATATTAACAATTCAGTTTTATTTAATGTGTTCTTGGGTTGAAGGTAGGTAATTAAATGAGCTGCATCTCTCCCATAATCATTATAGAAGATGCAAGTTAATGGTAAGATGGGGAGCTAAGCTGAAAAAGC